GCGGGGGGTGGGGGGGGGCAGTGAGTGGGAGTTCAGAGCTGCATGCATGACAGCAGAAAAAAAAAAGTACATGACAGTACTGTACAGTACAGTGAACGGGCTCGTGACGTGAACTCCACCTATGCATGCAATTGAATTCAAACAGTAAAGTGGCAGCACGCCGCAGCCATAAAAAAAACAGAAATCAGGCTTGCAGCCGCTGCCAAGTAAGAATCGTAATAAACCGCATAAAAAGCGCACATATGTCGTCACTTTTCAGAACACAAAAACACGTGTTTCCAAAAACAGTGACACTCACCTCAGCCGTGGCTTGGTCCACGCTTGACGACACAGCCAGCAGGAGCAGAAAAGCGGCGGCGGGAAGCAGCAGCATCTCAGCTGCCGGTGGGGGAGGGTGGTGGTGGTGGTGGTGGTGGGCGCACCGACTTCGTGTGTCCGCAAACAAGCGCTTGAATCTCGGCCTCTGTTTCCACTCGGTCAGCGGCGGAGCGCGCTCTGCACGTTGGCCTGCATGTTGTGTCCAGAAGCGATATGAAGTTCTGATCAACGCCGAGTGGGTTTAGTTTGGGGGCTTGCGCCACACCACACGTCTACTAACTACGCCCAAAAAAAAAAAAAACCCTCTCCCACCCACTCCCAACGACCACCCTCGCCCATCATGCGAACGAACACCACCAGCGCAAACACTTTGGACTTTTCGGCGTAAGAAGAGGATACACTCGACAACCTTTGCTTGAGGGTTTGGGGAGAATATTCCAGAAAGTTTCGTTTTTTTTGTTGCTGCGGACGTTCACTTTGGACTTTTCGGCGTAAGAAGAGGATACACTTGACAACCTTTGCTTGAGGGTTGGGGAGAATATTCCAGAAAGTTTTGTTTTTTTGGTGCTGCGGACGTCTTATCGCACCGTTACGCGCAAAAACTCTGGTGAGTGCGAGTTATATGCGTCCCGCTAAGGAATCCGGTGTAACATTGGAATCTGTTAGACGCAACTAGCTGAGTAAAACATATTTTAGTTCACTTTTGCTGTGTCCTATAGGTGGGTCATGTTTTGAGAGCTGCGTGGCTTTGAGGGCTGTTTTGGAACTATGCGCGGGCATCACAACAGAGACGTGACGCATCTCAGGTGAGCGTGTGCACAAAGATCACCTTAATACGTCTTATTCAGATTTCATCCTTCTCCTCGTCATCCTTTTATTTTACAGGTTGCTGCTGCTGTGCGCCTGCGTGGCCGTTCTCGTCGCCGGAGCGCACGCGGTAAGTGTTTACGAACTGTTTCTAACACGAGGGTCGAGTTCATGCGTGCATTGCGTGGTTTGCAAAAGTTTCAAGTTGAAAAGTTTCACGGTGTTTTTGCCGTAAGGTTCTCCGTGTGGGCACGTGTAGAGTTGAGTGGAAGTGTGCGCACAGAGTGGGAGTGGCGCGCGTGGGGAGGATCTCCAAGCAAAGGGGGGTTTGGTCTTGGCATACATACCTTCGCTGCAGGCCAATTGACTGCTGTACAGGTTGAGAAAATAATTCTGGACATTTTTTTAAATTTAAATGTTTGCAAGAATAGAGAATAATATTGCAAGGGAAAAAAAAAAGACTGTATTTTTTTTTTTTTTTTTTATAATTGTTCAACTGCAATTGGCTGGCAACCAGTTCAGGGTGTCCCCCGAGCGGCGACCCTTGTGAGGAAAAGCGAATTAGAAAATGGATGGTTGGATAATTGTTCAAGATGAAAGTTTTAATAAGAGACTTATTCTTTTCTTAGATTTGAGCAGAATATAGTTGCAATATTACGTGAGAAATGGATACTTTGCGAGAGAAAAAGCAGATGGAAGAAAAAACAATTGCTTTATAAAAATAAAATGGTATCATGAGAAAGAGTATAGAGTTGAATTATTATGAGAGAATAAAATTGTCAAATTAATATTGCACACATAGAGAGAGAGGGCTGGAGGGACTTTGGAGGGGAAAAAAAATAATTTGAGGCGAATTAAACTGTAACATTTAAAAAATAGTTTTACCACAAGATGACGGGCATGAACCGGTCATGTTTTGTTTTGTTGTTTTTTTTTTATTGGCGCAAGGGCTGGCTCCTTATCCGCCGCGAATAGCTGATGTTTGCTGCAGTTTGATCACATGATGCCAGCACAACAACTACAGTGGGCAGAAGTTTGGGGAAACTTTTGTGGCAAAATTGAAAAATAAGAACATTGTGACCACACTTCATCGCTATTTGGAGCCACTTCTTGCAAAACTAGCCACAGAAATAAAGATGTGCAGTTAGCCCCGGTTGTTGAGGATATTTGTCCACAATCACCAGGCGGAGGGAGCCTTTTTTTTCCTTTTTTTTTTTTTAAATGATCACAAATTTCACAATATGACTCCGATGAGTAACATATTTAAAATTTTGCCCACATCATTTCGCTTGGTTTCCACCAAAGTGGCTCCCGCCGCTAAATCTGAGCTGGCGCCCGAGCTAGCACCAGCTCTTTACATTTTTACCGACAGGATGGGAAGTCCTTTGCCGCATCATTTCGGCAGCTGCATGCACGTTCTGCGTGTTTTCGAATTTGCTTTCTTGGCAGCTTGTTCAGAGCGTTGGATGTTGACCGGTTTCAAGTCTCTCAGATGAAGGGTTATTTTCACGTGAAAAAGGCGGGTCGTTGTCTTGTGTCTCATGTGTGTGAGTGTGTGTGTGTTTAAATCAGATTTGCTTTTAACAGCATGTGACACAGCACAGGACCTTCTGTGTATTGTGCAGCCCTGCTCCCAAGACTGCGCAAAGAGGGACAGTGAACTCACTTTAGTTTGGGTCAATGTTCTGTTTTTAGGCAAATTTCACATGAAAAGGACTGAGAAGTCAGTAAGTCATGCAGGCTGAGGCTGTATTGACACTCCAGGTCTTCCATGTCCAACTTTCCAGTGATCTCCATCCGCTATCACTGTGGCTTTGACAATGCCTTGGAAATCTCGTTTCTTGAATTGCAACAGAGACTTGCTTGTAAACTTGTTTATTTCTCTTTTAGTTATATAGTTTGGAATGTCATTTCCCCGATTCGGGTAAATTGTCCCATGAATGAAAATTTGTACCCGCGCATATTTAAATCATTGCTGAGAGGAGATGAAGCAGAGAGTTTTTTTTTTTTCAAATGCAACAATTGATCATGAAGCGTGCAACTCATAACGCATCTCTTTTGAGGTGCGCATTGCAACATATGTTTCTGTTCAATGTCATATCCCAACCTCACCCGTGGGAGGTTGCCGGGCCAGATCCGCACCTCTGCGTAACAACTTTTTCCCACCATCCGTTCTCCACGCGATGTTTCACATCGGGGTTCCCCATCTTCCCCATTGGGAATAACCCGCTCAAGATGTTTCCCGTTTTAAGATTGATCGGCTCTTTTCACGCTGCATTTGCCAACCTCCTGCACTGTAAACAAACAGGAGGGGGGAAGAAAAAAAAATCAGTACACGTTGTGAAGTGAAGAGTTCATGCAATTCACACTTGTCCCTTTAAATCTTATTTACATCGCCTTTTCTTGTAAAAGTTTCTACAATCGCAAGTGCAATCTGATGCTTTGGCATGCGAGGAAGAATCTAGTTTTATGTTCACCGAGTTTGTTTTTCTGAAGACTCTTTTTGACATTTTAACAATTGAAAAAAAATATGGCGGTAAAACCCCAGCGCAAGGTTCGAAAGCAATAATCTGGAAATGTAACACTTGTTATGAGGCTTTAGAGGAGATCGACTGAGGAAAACGAAGCCGAACCGCTGAGCTAATGAGCGCATAAACAGACTTCCCAATGCGCACACAGAACCTCCCTCATCAGTCGGAGGAAGGAAAGCTCTCGAGACTCTCAACGCTAACAGGATGTATTGAATCGGAGCCTTTGATTCACGTGCGTCCGAGAAGATATTTCAAGATGTGTTGGAGCGGGATTGAACGAGTGGGTGGCTCGGCGGGCTTCTGACAGCGGATGTTTTGGGAATCAGATCTGTGTGGGAGGAAGAAGCCATTCGTGCTCCAGATTTCCGACCGTACCTGGCGGTCGAGCGGGGCGGCATCTGCTGAACCGCTTCACTTGTCGCTAATTGATTGTTGTGGGTCGCATTGTTTCCCCCAACGCCCGGTCTTGCGTTCCAAGGCGCAGTCCATCTTGATAAAATCTTGGATGATGATCATGAAGCAATAACAGAAATGTTATTGGCTTCTGTTTGTCATTGTCTTCAAATTAATATCGTCAGAATGGTTGCCGGTGATCAAAAGCACAATAAACTCGGACGGTGGGAAAAAAAAAATTATGAAAATGCAGTTTACCACATTTGGGTCCCCCTTCCCCCCAATGGTTGCCGGTGATCAAAAGCACAATAAACTCGGATGGTGGGGGAAAAAAAAAAAATTATGAAAATGCAGTTGACTACATTTGGGTCCCCCTTCCCCCCTAAATTATTGGATTCACTTGGGATTTCACAACCAAAGTGACACTTCCAAAAATGAACGTTGAAGACAATCTGACACTTTCTCACTGACTCTGACAAAATCCTTCCAATTTCCTCCATTTTTTTTTTTGTTTGTTTTTTGGGAGTTTTTTTTTGTTTTTTGTTTTTAAACCCTTTAAGGGACAGCGGTTACTACTGTGGACACCGGATCAGGTTATCATTATTTGCGCATGAAAGGGCTAATCAGAGATGCAAGTCGACTTTTGCATCTCTGCTGATTCCGAATTTGCCCATTTTTCTCGATGCTTTCATAAAAATAAGATGATGCGTAGCATCGCAATATAAAACATCATATTTATTATTAAGGGTTAGGTTGAGCAATGGCTGGAATTCATTTCTGAAACGCCATAGCTATTCCAGTGATCCGCATGATAAAGTCCATATTGTGTACGTTTTAATCGGTCAAATTTAAAAAAAACTAAAATTCTAATATTTCAAAAACCTAATGTGCTAAAAAGACAAAAAAAAACCCAAAAAGAACAGTAAAGGTCTTTTTTAAATCAGTGTCAAAACATCTTAAGAGATACATAAAGCCATTGCTGATTCAAATTTGCTGTTGACCAGTTTTTTGAATGTTCATTTTCCCAATTGTCAATCAAGGGTTGTGGTTTAAAAAAAAAAAAAAATGTAACATTCATCTTACGGCTGATAAATCACTTTTTGATGTGAACATGTGGCGCGTGATCTGAAAGGGGGTCACCTCCGACACGTGAGCCACCTCCTGTGCGTGATTGTTTTATGCTTTTGAGTTGAGAGCAAGATGTCTGCCTGCGATAAAGCCGGGGAAACTGGCAAACGTAACGGCTGGCCAAATAAGCGTCGGTGATACAAAGTCAGCCGCAACAATCGGGGGAAGAGCCCATTGTACTGTGCGGCGGGAAGCCAAAAGACATGCGCGCTTGCATACGGCCTCGCTGTCACCGATGAGCGCTGCGTCCGTGAACGCAGCGCAAGCGATCGAAGAGCTTGTGGTCACCTTCAGGGAGGACAGTTTCAATCAAGTCGCGCTTGCATACGGCCTCGCTGTCACCGATGAGCGCGCGTCCGTGAACGCAGAGCAAGCGATCGAAGAGCTTCTGGTCACCTTCAGGGAGGACAGTTTCAAGTGTTTTAGATTAGCGGTCCCCAATCTTTTTTGCCCCACGGACCGGTTTCATGTCAGACAATATTTTCAGAGAACGGCTTTTAAGGTGTGGCGGATAAATACAACAAAAAATATGAAAAGACCTGCATGAAAACTGAAAATGAATTTAACATAATTACTGGTCCCCGATTTCCAAAACGAGTCGTTTATAGATTTGTTACGTGTTTGTAATCTAAGACGACCGTATGTTTATTTGACTTCCCACTGTGAACTTCACTCAGAATGGCCCTCCGAAGGAAACCCAAACTACGATGTGGCCCGTAACAAAAATGAGGTTGACACCCTTGGGTCAAGCAGCCCGGTGGTCCAGTGGTTAGCGCGTCGACCTCACAGCGCAGAGGTACCGGGTTCAATTCCAGCTCCGGCCTCCCTTTGTGGAGTTTGCATGTTCTCCCCGGGCCTGCGTGGGTTTTCTCCGGGTACTCCGGTTTCCTTGCACATTCCCAAAACATGCATGGCAGGCTGATTGAACACTCTAAATTGTCCCGAGGTGTGAGTGTGAGCGTGGATGGTTGTTCGTCTCTGTGTGCCCTGCGATTGGCTAGCAACCGGTTCAGGGTGTCCCCCGCCTACTGCCCGAAGACAGCTGGGATAGGCTCCAGCACCCCCCGCGACCCTTGTG